GTGTGGTAGAAAACCCAAAACAAAAGCCTGTCTCAAAATAATAAAATAAGGAAAGGGCCGGGGATGTAGTTCAGTGCAAAGGCCCTAGGAACCAGGCGTTGTTCTCTTTCTCCCATATGAAGACATAGCTCGAAGGTGCCATCTGTGAACCAGAAAATGGACATTCACCCAACTTTTGATTTGCTGGTATCTTGATCCTGGATTTCCCAGCTTCTGAACTTTCTCTAAAAGATAAATTTCTTTTGTTTAGTTTGTTATTTTATTATTATTATTATTATTTGGTACCGGGGATTGAACTCGGGTCCTTGAGCTTACAAGGCAGGCCACCGAACCGCTGAGCTCAATCCCCGGCCCTAGTTTGTTATTTTAGCAGGCTGAATAGACAAAGGCCAAAGCCAAACCCAGGCTTTCCTAGGTGGATCAAGTTGAGAAAAGCTTCTCTTCTACACCTGTGCTTTTCAAACTAATATGCCTACCAGTCACCGGGGATCTTGTTAAACTGCAGTTTCTGTTTAGTGCATCTGGGCTAGGACTCAGGACTGCATTGCTAACAAGCTCCAAGGATGCATTATTGTTCTTGGTCCGGGAAACATCTCTTTGAGTCATATAGGTTTATAATAGCAAGGCTCAAATATGAGTTTGCAAAAGAACCACCTGGGAAGCTCACTAACAATTGAGTCCCTGTACCCATCCCTGGATACTGAATCAGTAGGTCTGACCACATCATTTGCCTTGGAACAATTTCTAGGTGATCCTGATTTCAGTCATTGGTCACTGGAATACTTTAAATAGATTTCTAGTTAACTTTAAAGCAGACTTAATGTAGATGCTTCCAGTACATCTTCTGCCAGTAGCCTCATCTTTAAAAGCAGAGCCAAATACTAGAAGATTAAGGAGGACACTGCCAAGTCATCTGTTTGGAGAAAATTACATGGCAAACTCCAAGAGTGCCACAGAGTCTCTGTTCTTATTTGTCTTGACAATATGCTTTGGCTAAAGACTATCAGGAATGAATCTAGGGAAAAAGATCTACAGATAAAATTGAGACGAACAAACAAGAATTCTGCCTGAAGTGGAGCTAAGTAAATAATAATGGGACTTGTTATCCAACTTGAAAGGATAGAATATTTGTACATAGATAAAGGGTAGAAGAACAAAGAGCAAAATGTTTATATAAATAATGAAATTTCAGGTGATGTTCACATTTTTGCTGTACTCGTCCTTGCTTTACATTTTTCTACAAAGCACATTTAAGTTATTGTTTCTATTACCAAGAAAAAAGAAATGAAGCTAATGATTTTACAGAAAAATATAGTGAGCTTTATGCCGAGTTGTAAGTCTTATTTGGTTTTGTTGTATCTATATTTCTTCCATTCTTTTCATGGGATTTTCTGGAGCTATGACAGCTCTTTGTTCTGACAGCAAAGAAGACAGGTAAAGATAAGGACTAAACAACTGCCTGCCTGGGGAAAGAAATTTAGGGAGTCTTAAAGGAAAGGTTTAAAGTTCCCAGAAATTAGAGTCTGCTCCTATTCCTTCCTCTTTCCAAACTGATCCCACCTTAGAAGAGTTGAAACAAGGATTAAACTAATATAGAAAAAGTTGGAAAACATTAAGAAGTGAGAGAACAAGAAGTGTATAGCTCAGTGGTAGAGCTTATACTTAGCATGCAGAAGGCCCGGAGTTCACTGCAAAGAAGGAAGGAAAGGAGGGAGGGAAGGAATTATGGCCAGCTGGGAAGAGGGAAGCCATGCCTTGCCCATCTGCACAGGAGATTATACTCCCTCCACTGGTGTTCGCCTGTCTACCAGGTGCTTCTTATACTCAGGAGTGCTAGACTGGAAGGAAGATGTCTTGTATAGGGAAAAATCATCTGAAGAGCCAACCCCATTGCACCAATGCACATGTTCAAAGGGCTTGAAGTTGTGCCTCTTGGGCCTAAAGTAGGTGATTGTCATGTGTGCTTATTTTCAGGATTGAAAAAAAAAAAAAGTATCTGAGTAATCATCGTCTTTTTTGGTTCAGCTAATCTGATCAAAAAAGTTGATAGGCACTTCGTTCACTGCCTGTGAAACATTTTAAGGAAACTCCAGGACTCTACTGACACCTGCTGGCATTTCATCTCTTTGTCTTTACAAAGAACCACAAAGCATGAGAAAGAAATATTGACATTTTCCTACAATTCTTTGACTTTATTATCCTAAGTGTACTTGGCCTGAACAACAAGAGAGAAAAAGGAAAGGTCTGAAGCCCTCTTTTCTTCTTGTAGTGCAACTATGCAAAACTTGAAGCCCTCTTTTCCATGTTGTAGAGGAAGAAGTATGGACAAGCCACTGGGCGAAAGTATCCTCAACAGGAAACTATAAAAGCAATTTATTAACCCAGCAGTTCATTACTCTGCCTTGCACCAGCCACTCTGTTACCTTGGACAATACCCCTGACCTTGATTTCATCATCCTAAGGAGAAAGAAGCAACAACTTACCCCTCTCCTACCCTGGAAGGCCTCTGAGGACTTGGTGGCTTTTGCAACTAACTAAAGCCTGGGTCCTGTCCCTGGAGCGAGGACCTCAAAGTTCTGTTCTAATAAACAAGATTCTTCCCCAGAGTTACATTTTCAAAAGATGGATGAACGTTGTTTAAGCCTTGTCAAAGTCCACTGTCTCTGGAATTTTCTCTGTAAGCGAACCTTCCCGCTGAATTGTCAGCATTTTTGCCCTCGGAAATGATGGACTTTGTTTTCTGTTTTGGAACATGTCAAAAGCATTCAGGTTGAGAAAATACTTCAGTATTAATGCCAACCAAATTATTTGTGCTTTTTCTGTCTGCTCTTGGGAAACTTGTGTGGGCCTATGGTTTCTTAGTCCAATAACAGGATATTTTATAATCTCCAGGGAGTTGTTGTCCATATTTAGTTTGACAGAGGAAGAGAGGTCTGCAGATGATAAATAAGTGAGGCTTTTCTTGAATGCTTCTATTTCATTTCTTTCTTCTCCCTCAGAATTCCGACTTCATCATGCTTGCTGAGGCTTTTGATGCTATTTACAGTTCTCACAAAATGGCCTTTGCTAGTTGCAAAAGGAAATTTACTTCTTTGAGCTCCATGGTCTTCCCTCAGAAAGCTATTAGGAAGGACTTGGAGCATAAATAGTTGGTAACAACTGAGTCATACCCACCGGAATGGCTCCTATCAACAAATGCAGAAAACAGCAAGTGTTGGTGAGCAAACGGAAAAATTAGAAATCTCCTACACTGTTGTTGGAAATATAAAATGGCACAACTGATGGGAAAGCAGTATGGCAGTTACACAAAAATTTTAAAATAGGATTGCCCTATGATTAGGCAACTCCATTTCTAATTATGAATCCAAAAGAATTTGAAGCAGGAACCAGGGATTATTGAGATATCAGTGTTTATAGCAGCATTATGCACAATTACCACAGACTAGAAGCAGCTCATATTTTCCTTTTAAGAAGAATGGATGAAAAAAATGTAGAATATGCATACAGTGGAATTTTAGTCAGCCTTTAACAGGAAAATAATTCTGACACATGCTAAAACATGGGTGAACCCTGAGGACAGTATGCTAAGAGAAGCCAGCTGCAGAATGATTCTCCTTTCAGGTATTTGGAATTCAAAATCCTAGATACAGAACATGGAATGATGATCACTAAAGGCTAAGGAGAGAGAGAAATGTGGAGTTACTTTTTAATGGTACAAAGTTTTATATTTACAAGATGAAAATAGCTGTGGAGATGGATGGTGGTAGTCATTGTACAACAAGCTGATGTACTTAAGGCCACTAGACTGCTGACTTAAGAATGGTTAAGATCGTAAATTTAGTGTTAAATGTATTTTACCAAATTAAAAGAAAGAAAAGGCATAAAACAGACACTTGTAGTTCAGTTGTCACCTTGCATGCATTAAATCGCTTGACAATGTTAAGTCTCATAATAGTGCACAGCACTATATTCTGTGATGATAAAAACTCTTGCGATGATGGAAAGGTTTTTTGTCTCACTCCCCAGCATGGTAGTCACCAGCCCCATGCTGAATTTGAACACTTGATATGTGACTACTACAACAGAGACACTAAAGTTTATATTTATGCAACTTAAATGCCTGAATGTGAACAGTGTTAATACCAAATGTTTTCTCTCAGCATTGATCCAGAAACCTAAGAGGTCAGGCTATAAATCTAAGAAGATAAGGAACCAACTTGTGCATGAGTCACAGTTCTGCTTACAACAAAGCATTTCACCAAGAATTGGTTCTTTTATGTCATTGGTTGGTACTGGTACATGCATCCAAGAGCAGAATTGGCCTTGGCTCATGGGCTAGTCTTTTCTAGCGAAATGTCTTTTTACTGCCGTGCTCAGTCATCCCTCACTTTTCCTTGTAAATCCATGGAGTGTTGGCATGAGCTCCTGAGGTCCAAGTCCTTATACAGAAATTATCTGAAACATCACTGCTTGCCCTGGGTACCCTGGAGATCAGGGATTCTTTCACTTTTTAAGGCTTTGCTGGAAATCACAGATAGTGAAATATGTGACAAACCCAGATGGAAAGAATCGCACAATACAATTGAAGAATCGATTATGCATCATCCTCTAAAATGGGAATGGATAGGCTATATCATCATGCATTGTATAATGTTGCTAAGAAGGAATTTAAATTGCCAGTAATTGAAAGGGGGCTTGTATTTAAACAAGCTGCAAATAGAAGGCTTAGCCAGTCAATCAGTGGACAGCATTCCTTTGTGGCAACTTAGTATTTTATGGTACCACAGATGCCACATTTATCTTTATGGAAAGGATGAAAGCTGTTTATTAGAGTATAAAATATGAGCATGCATAATGTGGATGTCTGTGTGGCAGGAAGGAGATAAAAGAAGAGTTAATATTTTCATTACATAAAATGGATACAGGCTGTCTAATAAAAACCACCATATTTGGCTACAGCAGACTGGCTCACTGAGAACGTTTTTTTCTTTTTCTTTCAGCAATGGGTAGAAGGCCTGAGATCGATCATACACAACTTCAGAGCCAACAACGTCAGTCCAATGACATGTCTCAAGAAACAGTGAGTTTTGTTTGTGTCACCTTTTGCTCTTGAGAATTGTCAAGCACGTGGTCAAATGAGAAGATGAATGCTACATGAATATGGTCAGGTCAATACCTGCCTACATTTCCTTCCATACTCCTGACCAACACACACCTGCATTCTTTGTACCACCTAAGTATGCATAACATCAAGGCCCACAGCTAAAACCCCATATGAAACAAAAGGGCAATGGCTAAAAACTACCACCCTTAGTTACTCAGTGGCCTGTGGTTTGTGAGCATTGGCTTTTGTATCTCCAAAATGAGTCTTCTGATAGGTAGCTCTGCATACTTAGGACCAATAGCTGGGTGTTGGGGTATCTCTAACCTGTCCTGCATACAACTGAAAAGTGGGGAGCCAAGAGAAGCATTTGGAGAAACAACCAAAGGAAGCCAGGATGCCAGGTGCAGTACTTCTTGATTGGCAGGCAATCAGGGATTTGATCAATAAAAGAGTCAATCAAGGATCCAAACGTCTTACCCAACTCACTGTGTGTCAAATCCAAAAAGATACTACAGTGGTAGATATTTTTTTTTAATCCATTAAGTTTACAAGTAGATTTTAACCCTACCCATGGGGACCTGACCAGGTGACCTTTCAAGGTGACCTGACAGTTCCCCAAGTTGAAATCCTAGCCAAAGTAAAAAATCAGCCTTTCTGAAAAGCATCTATGAGAAGGTGGGGCTGTTTGCCTTTTGGGGCCATTGGCAGGCAGTGGTGAGGTGCCAAAGGTAACCAGATGGTGAAATTGTGATGTTCAACCAATGATGTTCAAAACCAGCCCTGACATGAGCCAATAGCCCAGTCCCATAAACACATGTAGTCCCTACTTCCTGGTCACTCAGCAGAAACTTAAGAGTGGACTGTGGGTCCCAGTTTAGCCACATCAGGTGAATTCTTAGCCTCTCTGTCCCCATATGTGAATGAAAATTGTCATGTAGCTAAAACTAGAATGCACCTCTTTGGTCCTCAGAAAAAGTCTGGCTGCTGTCACATCATGGCTCTCACTCATTCTTTATGGGATACCAGTTATTTTCATTTTACAAGGTCCCTCTAATTTTGTCACCATCCTTTTGGTGAAGGAAGGTCATTTAGGCTTGTAAATTCCTGTTTGTTGTGGAGCTGCTTTGCCTTTTCCATGGCAATTGCTGTGGCATAATTTGTTACAGAGAAACCTATTGGGTTTTTTTTTCAATGTTAAGACTTCAGGCACTAAAAGTCCCAAAGAATTAAAAACTTTTAGAGAGCTTGATTATACTTGCATGACCCAAACATCCATATCCCAACCCCAGATCTTATGGTGCCCTGTCCAGGTCCCTCTGTGGAGCTATGACTCACTCAGCCACCTTCTGCTCACCAAGGGCTCAGCTCTGTCCATTTCTCCAGAGAATCGCTATCTGTGGAAGGGAAAAGGATAAGCCTCTCTCCTCCTTAGGGGAAGCCCACAGCAAAGGACAGGTTGAAACAGTGCAGAATGCCAGGCCCCTATCACACAAGAGAAGGTTAAAGTTTTAGCTGAGACCACAAGCTTGCTTTGCTATTTTCCCTGCCCCTCTTTGTTCCTTTTAGTCCCTTTGCCCCTCAAACATACATTTAAGTAAGTATTCACTTTTTCTTCTAGAAAACTTGACATAAGACAGAAATTTTACTAAGACATCATGTTTTGTAAATAGTTAGATTGTTACTGGCTGGAAAGGTTGAGTATGGGAGTGATTGGCTTGGAACTCCAAAGTACAATAAATGTTCTGTGAACTCAAATGTCCTGGAAGCCCAGGGAAAGCAGAGTTACCCACCCTTGTGAGGCTTTCTCTTACCATTGTAGGTTAAGAAAGGTGCCTCTTTGGTCTATACTGTAGCACTGAGAGCTGGGAGGATTGAGTCTTCATGGGTGCTCAGGAAATAGCTGGCTGATGTCACTGTACACTTGCATTTCCTGTCACCTTAGTATGTTAATATTTTTAATTCATCTAGAATTGCCAGGTAAAATATAAGACTCTCAGTTAAATTTGAATTTCAGAGAAGTATCATGATATTTTATTATATGTTCTAAATATCACATAGGGAGTATTTGTGTAAATATATTATGGTACTATTTTGTAATTCACATTAAACAGAGAGCCATGTATTTTTATTTGCTAACTCTGACACATCTGAATTCATTCCACACCACATTGTGTTCTCTGAGTTTTAGAATAGATATCTGTTTGAATAAAATTTATTTTAAAGATGCTCTTCCCAAGAAATTAAAACAACATTGTTGCTGTTGTTTTCCAGCTGGATGAAATTGGCATTTATGACCAACCCCAGTGGTAAAATTCCAGTTAGGAGGTAAGTTGGCCGTTGTTGGCCATTCACCATGCCCCAGATCAACCTTCATGATTCCAAACCAAAGACAGGGGCCTCTACAAGTATTGTTTGCTAATTTAAAATATTTCTGGAAGCTTAGTCTGAATCTCTTTGTCAAGTGCTGTGTTTAGTTTGTAAAAATCATGCATAGAAGTTTCATTTTGCCTCCAATCAGATAACATTAACTCTGATAATATCTGAAAATGTAATATTATTTTTTTAATTTCTCAAAAAGCAGTTTTTTAGGATTTAAATTTATCTTGCCTATTTACCTGAGCAGCCACTAGCTGAAATTTCAGACATTGGCACTGTGCACTGATGGTGGCATTGTGGGGCCTGTCCTGGGAAGGGGGCTGACCCTGGATCATGCCTTCTGATCATGGCTTTGCTGGGCCTCTGGGGCTCAGGGCAAATAGTGCTGACTCAGTTCAGGCTGGGGCAAAGTATTGTAGACTGGGTGACTTAGAAACCGCACAAGTTTATTGTGTGCTTTGGAGGCTGGAAATCCCAGATTCAAGCATGGTTCATTCTGTTGAGGGTTTACTTCCAGGATATAGACTGCTGTCTCTGGCTGCAGAAAGGGGCGGAGAGCTCTCTGCGGCCTGTTTTATAAGGGCACGAACTCCATTCATGAGGGCTCTGTCCTCATGACCTAACCCCTCAAAGGCCTTATCCTCTAATATCCCATTAGGATTAGATTAGGATTTCAATACCTCACATCTTTCAGAGCTGTTCCTTCCTCCCTCATCTTGGCAAGTTATCAGTGACCAAAGCAAAAAAAAAAAAAAAAAAAAAAAAAAAAAAGAAGAGGCTGTGAGCCAGATACATCGTCCATATTTTACTCTGAAGGTTCCCCATGCATCTCTCTTTACTAGTTTGCAATTTTCTTCCAAGATTTAGGATTTCCTAATGGTCTCTGTACAATAGTTGGAAGGTCTTACTATGGTAGCACTGAAATTCCTTTGCCAAACTCTCCAGGATCATTTTGTGTGGTGTTTCTTTGAGCATTCATGGAAATTCCAGAGGCTGGGCTGGGACCCAGCACCTCAGCTGTCCACATGCAGTCAAAATGGTATTGGATTCACGAACCGAAGTGCCTGACATCAATCAAACAGGGGCTTCCAGATACCGACCTGCTCTTCCCAGATCCTCCAGACTCAAGTTCATGCTGATGTCTTATCTGGACACCACTTAAACAAAGAAGCAAACCAAAAAACAGAGCCTAGAGCCACTGGTAGAGTCCTGTCTTAGAACTGATCCATTTGTCACAGTTGAGGCAACAGGCCACCAAGTGCAGAGCTTTTATGTAGACACAGTTGAGCAGTGACATGCTGGTCACTTTGGCACTTTTGGCTTCTTTTTCTTACTCCTGTGTAGCAGTTTTCTTCTGTTCTGAAACTTCCATCTTGCTTTCCCTATGTGCCTGGACATGGCTCTTGCCACACTGAACAGAATTATCCCAAGTAATTTTTCTTAATTCTGTAAGTTACAAGAATCATGAACTTAAGTGTACATGTGACATGACTGAAATATTTATGAGAAAAAAGAAAATATAGAAATCATGAAAAAGAGCCCTTTTATGCAGCATTCTTTTTATTAAACCTGGTATGAGAACTTACCAGGTCACAAACCCAATATGTTATTTGTAGTCTTTACAAATCCATATATAGCATTATCTAATTTTTTATTTAATAATTTGCACTTCAATTATATATCTACTTTAGAAGTTAAAAAAAGCTCTGTTAACACCCTTCATTGATGGTTGTTGGCAAAAAGACTTTGTACTTTAAAACTCTTTGTTCAGTTATCAATAGCAGGACGAATTATTGCACATATCACAACATCCTACAGCTATTGCTGTAGTTAAAGCATTTTTATTTAAAATCAAATCGAAGTAATAAGTTCAAAGCTCAGATTGTACAGATAGCAATATAATAAACAGAAATATAAGTTGAATCTGTTCATCATACCTTATTATCCTGCCTTTTCTGCCAAGGTAAGATTCAAGAAATGGATGACATAGAAACCCATAGATTGTGTCCAAAGTACTTCTAAGGAGCAGTTCTGATTTCATTTGTGTGCATCCTACCAATAAAGCCATAGATATACAACCTTGGATGCTTCTTCTGATTGTATCAATCTTTGTCTATCATGTTCACATACAAAACTGCTACCCTCTGTTTGGTAAAAATAGCCTAAATATTTTGGCATCTTCTTTAGCTCTGTTTGACCCAGACTCTGGTGCTTGCCAGTAATTACAGGTGTCTGACATCAGACATCTGTGACTTGGGGCGGTTTGTGAAGAGCTAATGGAGAGTTGATACCAGGCCAATAGAAAGTAGATAACTCTCCTGGTAAGAGGTGCTGCCAAGGGTGAGGTGGAAATTGTTCCGAATGTTTTAATGAAGGCTAAACATTTTTAAAATGTCATTTCATCACCACCATTCTGGAGTTCTAAAAGCAGAAGCTTTTACTATCATGTACATCATGTTAAAAGGGATCTCATTTCATAATAATAATAATGGACCCTGCTTTTTAGCAGTACACTGAAATACAATGCCCAAGAAATAGTAGGAATGACAAATGAAGGGAAGTCTCGCTTCTTGTTTCCCTCTTTTCTTTGTAACATTGCAATCCAAAAGTAAGGCGAATGTATATATATTTTTTTAATTTTACAGTAAAAGACACATTGAGGTGAATCACACTCAGAACACAGCCTTACACTTCAGACATAGCTACTGCACCCTTCTCTTCACTTCCTAAAGCAGCATGAAACATTCCCTCTTATATCTTTATGAGTTGTGATGAAAAATACAGTAAACACTGCTACCCAGTGCCACCCAACAGAAAGGCAAGCTCATAAAAACGTCATGATGTGCTCTCATCCACTAGATCTGGCACTGTGCAACTTCTGTCTTCTTCAAAGTCAAAAATGACCATGAAAGGTAACATTGTGAATCAATTCGGGACATAAAAGAGGCTAACATGAAAGAAGAGTTCAAGGACTACTTCAGAAAGTGGCAAGAATGATAGGATAAATGTGTCGGAAGCAAAGGGGAGTATTTTGAGGGGGATTCATGGCAATGTGTATTTTATTGCAATAAATTTTGTTTTGTTCAAACATTGACTCTGCGATCACACGGCACAAATAGTCATATGCAGTTTGATTTTTCTCCCAGGCTTACGAACTCACCCTCAGGTTATTCTCTCACTCAGACCAAAGTTTTGAGAGCGTCTCCTTTCTTTTGCCATCTCGCATCTCTTGAAACTTGAGGTGGGATCCAGTGGTTGGAGTTAGGTGATCGGGTAGCCCAATAGTGCCCATGAGCAGTGTCTACAGCAGACCTTGAGGGACACAGTAATGTGAACCTAGGCCAGGAGCCGCAGGTGTGGTCATGGCTGTCCCATCCTGTGTAATTTATTCATGTCCCAAAGGCCTACAGACCTGGCTGACTGCCCGAGTGTCTGATTCTGCAAGCAGTAACCCCACTGCTTCTTTTCTGTCTTCTGTGGCTTGTTACAAAAGTAAACATTGATTAAACAGTGTTAATCACTGAAACTCACACCTCTTGGCCCAAAAAATTAGGGAAATTAAAGGGGAAGTTCAGGTAAGGAATAGTGACGGTGAATGATTGAAAAATGCTATGTGTGTGTAGTTTTGCCAAAATGAGACTCATGAATTTATATAACCAAGAAGCACTAATAAAAATGTTAGACACAAAAAGATAACGTTAAAACCCCACATAAAATGTATGCACTGCAGCCCTTTTGTGGACAAGCGAAGAGTGGGTCTCCCTTAGTTTCTAGGATCATTACTCCCTTAGTCTCTTGAAAGGTCCCCTGGGACACAGAGTTTAACCAGTACTCTAGCAGGACTGGACACAACTGAAGAGCACTTGCTCTTGTAACATTCTTTTTGGGGAAAGGGTGGTGGTTCATTTTGGTTCAACAAAGTCTCATTGAGCTCAGGTAGTTCTGGTGTGAAGTGCTGAGACATACTCAGTGGGCATGGGGCTACATTAAAAAGTTGACTACATCACTAGCTCTACTTTATAGATATAATATAGTAGTTGTGCACAATGTCCTTAGACTGTGATAAGTGTGTTTTCCTAAGGACCTTGGTTAAAAGGCATCTTTCTGAAAACCTAAATAATTTACCTTTACTCCCTAGAGCTCCCCTCCCCTGCCCCACAACCCCAAGACTTAAGAATGATTGCAAGTTTCCTCAGACAGGGGAAACAGACACAACTGTAGAGAAATGGTTTACCCGACTTGTTCTCATTTTCCATCCTGGGTGTGGATGGTCTCTTTTAGAATAAGGTAAGTCAATCTGTGGTGTGGTTGCCCAGCCCAAGCCCCCTCATGAAAAGATGGAGCTGAAAATTAAGCCACCTCATCTCCCTTATTCCCTCTCTGTTCTACCCCAACACTCTTCTACCATGTTTGATTTCTTAGCACCTGAACAAGCACGAGCCAAAGATTTTGTTTCTACACATTCTTCCTTTCCCATAGCAATGAGGCCCAGGTTCACACTATGTTCACACTATGTTGATCAGTTCCTGTCTCCTTCTTCCAGGCTCATCCAAACCTAACAGAGGTGTGGGCTAGCTGGGATAGCCTTGAACATCCCATACAAAGATTTCCCTCCCGATTACAGGTGCCTAATTCTCCAGTGCATGTGCAGTTATGACCTTAAAACATATTTTTCAAAAGAAAGACACACTGAAGAACTGCTTTCTCCTAAGTGAAGAAGGCTACATAAATTCCATGTAACCCCAATTCAGTGAATAAAGTTGCATGAACTCTTAAAATGTGAAGAAATATAGATGCAGCACCCTGAATGTTAAACACCTGTTAATTAGTTGACTTAATGTCATCCTTCACCATGTCAGTAGATGCATAGGCTTCCTTATAGCTTAACACAACTGTCTCGGGCACTCTTCAAAATGTGCTTTCTTGATGTAGTGTTGGACATAATATGAAGCAGTACAACTTTGAAAGAAAATTTACCTAAAGCTACTTCCCATCTATATGGGGAAGTTGTACTCTGGAGTTCCAGTGGTGCTTTCTCCCACTCATCAAATAACCGGCTGTCTGTGCTTACACTTGGGGCCTGCCTTCCACTTAACATGAATGGCACAGTACATGAAAAACCCAGGCACAAGGCTGCTAAGAACCCATGGCACTCAGAAGACATTCCAAAGCCAAGCTTTACAGACGAAGCAAACACCATCTTCAAGTCAAACCTGGATCTCCAAATTTAGTCTCCAAGGTCATGGTGACATATTACCTGGGCTTCCAATCAGGGAGTGAGCAACGGCTTCTTGGGTGGCTAAGGCACAGCTTAGAGCCAAGTACTGGGTTCCAGGGTGCCAATTCTCCCCCTGATATCTTTTATGCTAAGTGTCATTGAAACATTTGTAATGAAACTCTCTTCGTATCAACACCAGAAGAAAGGCTCTTCAAAGTGTTGTGCATTAGATTAGCCCCGTTGCTCACTATACCACTTAAAAGGATATTTGGAAATAGCATATCTCAGGATATCGCCAAGACTCTGTTAGATTATTGAATAATTACCCCCACCCCATGATAGTCAGCTTTCTGTTCTTGTTATAAATTGTCTGGGGATAACAATTTGGGAAGAAAGGGTTTGTTTCGTGTTCAGAGGTTTCAACCCATGGTCGACTGGCTCCCTTATTGCTGGGCCTGTGTGCCGCAGAAAGAATGTGGTGGAAGGATGTTGCAGGGGAAAACTGCTGATTTCATAGTGACTAGGAAGCAGAAAGTCAGAGCATGCACTAATGGACCTTCTTTTCTGCTTTTGTTCCATCTAGACTCCCACCCAGGAGATAGGGCCACTTGTGCTCAGGACAGGTCTTCCCACTCAGTATGCTGTTCCAGATGCTGATGGTTCTAGAAACCTCCTCATGACGTACCCAGAATATGCTTCGCCAATTTCCTAGGCATTTCTTAATCCAATCAACCAATCACGATTAACTGTCCTATCCCCCAACCCATCACTTTCATAATGAAGTCTCTACTCCTTGAGGCAGCTGGTATTACAGAGTGGCTCAAGGGTGCTGAGCATAAAAAAAATCAAAGTCTGTCTGTTGACATGCCTCAAATGCAATCAGCATGAAAACCAGGACAGCAGCAACCAGAGCCCCATCTCAGGTCTCCAGGCTACTTCTTTCTCCAAGTCCAGAGATTGTCATCCTGAGGTTTTCTTCTACATCCACTGTAGTGTTTGCTACATTATGTTTCCCTAAGGAAGTAATTTCTTAGGGCCAAAATGCATCAGTTTTTGTCCAACACAGTGTGTCCTTCTACCCCCCTTATGTTCACCAACACCAAAGGGACAGCTTATCTTAGTTTTTTGTTTGTTTGTTTTGGTACTGGGAATTGAACTCAGGACCTTGTGCTTGCAAGGCAGGTGGCGGAATCACTGAACTAAATCCCCAGTCCAGGGACAGCTAATCTTAAAATCAGGTTGCATCAATAACAGAAGCAGCACTGATAACCAGAGAGTTGTGGGAAGAGCTCCTTTGGGCAATGAAGAGCCTCTACAAATGAAAAGTAGTTTTATTCTCCTTTTTCTTTCCCCAGTCCTGCCATTCCTAGGAGTACTTGGATCTTTGCATCAAAGAAATCAGAATTAGCAGTAACTTGAATTTTTCTTTCTTTCTTTTGTTCTTGCCCTAGTATTACTAGAACCTTTGCATCGGGAAAAACAGAAAAAGTGATCTTTCAAGCCCTCAAGGAGTTAGGTCTTCCAAGTGGAAAGGTATTCATTGGCTGAATGTGTTTCTAAAACCAATTTATTTGTACTGTCATGTAAGATAAGCTGAATTATTTACTGAACTTAATTAGACTCAGAATTAGATTCAACTTTATAAAGTTAATTTTCTCTTCTCCTTCTTCTCTCTCAGCATTTTAACCTACATGTTTTAAAATGCAATTAGTTTACTTCAAAATTATTTGTGTTAACCTTATTAAGATAGGAAATGAAAGACAAGCTGTTCTTTACACAGTTTATGGAACTTTTTTTAGAGAAGGCCAGTCATATTACCTTAACCATTCACGTGTCAACATGAATAATTAACTAATAAATCCATTTCTTCAAGGAGGCCTTACCATACTTTATAAAGCATTCTTTCCCCCAACCAATCATTTGTGTGCATGACTGTTCAGATTTTAAGTAATTGAAATTACTTTGTGAGCTGGAAAAAAGATTTGAGAGCATGACTTCTTTAACAAGTCCTACTTGAAATAAACATTTTAGTATAAGTCTGATCTTATATAGTCATTTTTAAATGTCTTTCTTTGGTCTTTTGAAAGTTCATGAAATAAGCATAATTAAAAACTGGGCACAATTGATTCAGTATCCTCTATACAAACACTTGCTTTCCCCACTCTGCGATGGAAAAAATGTCTATCTTTGTTCTCTGGGTGTTGCCTAGAGAAGCCCAGCTGTAGCCAGATGTTGTGGTAACTAGAGGTGTTTGTTTACACCAGCTGTGACAGAACTAGGTGGCCCAGAGATTGGCCTCCTGGTTTCCAGGGTTCCATAAAGACTTTGCTTTATGACCCTGAGAAGTCTCACCTTCAAGAAAGGATAAAAGTTCAATGATTTTTGACACTCTTATTCTTTACAGAATGATGAAATTGAGCCTGCTGCCTTTACTTATGAAAAGTTCTATGAACTTACGCAAAAGATTTGTCCTCGGACAGATATAGAAGATCTTTTTAAAAAAATGTAAGTTCCAATTATGAGAAAATGTTGTATAAATACTACTCATGTCCTTTTTAGATATTTAAAACATCTTAGTTGCCATTACATTTTAATACAGCATTGGCAGTAGTAGAAATATGTAGTCAGGGTTACATTTTCACCCCTTAGTTAATTAGTGTAAATTCACTCAGGTTTTAAGAAACTTAAAAATAAATGTATTGCAGCACCTGGAACTTTCCCCCGGCATTGGCTTTACTAACTACCTATAATTTTAACCTGCTCCTTTAGGTATTAACCCATTACGTGAACTAACTAGATTCAGTTTGGAATGTTAATATGTTGTCGAAAAGTTCATTCATTCCAGTTATTTCAAATGGATGACTTACATGTTGTTTTTGAAATAACATCTTTTGATAATGCTAAATAATTTCAGACATTTTTCTGTGACCTAGCGGGAGTGTTTCCTTTCCCTTGTCATTATCGTTGTTGGGTTTTTCTTCCTTACCAACAGTCTCTGGCCATTTAAGAATTCAGCACTATTTTAGGATTAGAAAATAAGTTTAGAATTATCAACAACAAATGTCAACATGTAAATCGTACCTACTGTAGCATCATGTACAAAAACTTACTTTTTCTAATAAATTTCTTTTCAGCAATGGAGACAAAACTGATTATTTAACGGTAGACCAATTAGTGAGCTTTCTAAATGAAGTAAGCTTTTTCATACATTAACTCCATACAGTCTGTGTGCAGTGGCTCGCCTCCTGCATCTTCGTTGCATGCTCGCACCCCACACCCTTATTCGCTTTGCTTCTCACCTGCTGATCTTTCCACGATGGCCTCACCAGGTGCAGAAATCAGCTTCTGCCCCTGTGTCCATACGCTTCCTTCATGCTGGCTTTGCACACGGCTTTTTGTTGGTTTCTCGCTGTGATGTGTAGCTCTGGTTCTGTATGTTTGTGTGATATTTATAATGTATTTATTTAATTAAATGTGTCTATATTTTTGCAAGAAGATATTTAAACATTTTTTTCTATCAATCTCAACAAATAGAAGGAGAAGGGATTGAGTTTATCACCCGTAGTTGGATTCTCCATTGCTAACTTTAACTCATACTTTTGCATGGACTGGAAAGCTTTATTGTTGTCTTTTAATTGATTGCATGTAAGAGAAATATGTATGATCAAATAGAATATTTTGACAACAAGGACACCACTTGATTTCCTGGGTAAAATATAGGAACAGGCCAATTGGATTGCAGATTAAAATGTTACTTTTTGGGGCTGGGGATTTAGCTCAGTGGTTCTGCCGCCTGCCTGATGAACACAAGAATCTGATCCCAATCCCCAGTACCAAAAAAAAAAGTTACTTTTTATTTTTAATAGCAAAGCTAATTTTAGAACATGATTCACTTACCAACCAAAACTGACTGATAAATTTCACTTAAGCACAAGAGAAAAATATTTTGGAAGGAGTAAAGGTTATAATTTTTATTATACTAAAACAAATATGTTTTTTTCTTTACACATGCAAAACACTATTTTTTCTTTAGCAAAACCTGTCAAAGATCTTATTAATCCAAAACAGGAAATTCATTTTTTCAAACAAATAAATAAAATAATTTTTGAGTGAGGGATAGACAATAGACAATATATTTTTGTTTCAAAATAATTCAAGGTAATCATCATATCATAAAGACAGAATATCATAAAAAACAGCATTGAGGCTGGCTCAGTGTAACTCAGTGTTACAGCACATGTTTAGCATGTGCAAGGCCCTGGATTTGATACTAGCACTGCAAAAAAAGAAAGAGAGAGCGAGAGAGAGAAAAGAAAAGACAGCATCATACTACATGTGAGATATTGCTTTAAAAAAATACAAGCAGTTTGTGGTTTGCCACTTTGTAGAAACAAATCAATCTTTGGTTTTATTCCTTGTGAAGGTTTGGAGGCTTCTAATTTATAGAGTTGCACTTTAGAAACGGTGCTAACCAAAGTCTAGGTGCAGCCAGGCAAAAAAGAAAAAGGACTCCATATATCTGCACAGGTGTCTCTACTTGTAAATAATTCCTTCAGTAAGATACAATATTTATTTAACTTGAAAACATGTCAAGTTTTTTTGCTCCACTAGATTTTAGTCATATGACTACTATGTTCATAATCTTTACCCAGACACTATCCACGTTTTTATGCCGCAGTTGCTCAGAAGTTAAACCACCTTGCTTTATTTCCTTGCCTCCCTCTCCTTCTTCCTCTTTTTGTTGTTTTAGTTCCCTCAGCTTATTCATACATTGGCTCATTGGCCATCTTAAATTTGGTGTTATGGTCAGGATTCCAGCTTCCTACTAAAAGGGGAAGATAGTTTGGTAGAGAGGAGAAAACCTACCACATCATAAATTTGTAACTTGCTGAAATTAGGCCTCTTGTGTGCCTTGGGGTGAAGCTGGCACCCAGCCATCTATTAAGCAGAGACCTTCACACTGCATTTTTTGTTTGAATACAGAAACAATTGCTCTTACTTGACACACTTTCTTTTGTGGATTCTTCTCATTGGTCTACCCAATAATCATTCTTGTAATTCCTACATTTTTTTAACTTTTATTTTTTAAAAAAATTAAACTTCTACCTTTAAGAACTATTGAAATCTTTATATATACTTGCGTGAGTGTTTGAAACTCAACCCCCAGTTCTTTCTTGTTTTCCTATCTTTGACAAATGTTTATCCATCACTGTTACTGTGGACAGTTTGTGTTCTTTTGTTTTTATGTTTCTTTTTAATTAGGCTTCCCCTTAACAGTAAGAGACATTTTGAATTTGGAGTGGGACAGATGGAACTGCTGTGATTCTACATTTCTTTAGGTTATAGAAACTAAAAGAAGTTTAGGAAAGCACACAAGCTTTATTTTTTATCAGATTGTCCACCCTGAGTCCCTACCTTCCTGTCCTCTCCTAGTGAATGCAATAGGAAGATAGACAAAAAAAGAGAGTCTTCTTCAAGAAGTTGTTGAACCCAGGGAATGTTCTGCTGGTTCCTTGCACTCCTTTAGACTCCTACCCTTCTTCCTTGAGTCTCCCCACAACCAAAAACTCCCCTTTACAGAGAAACTTCTTCATAATGAAAGGAGACAGAAATCACTCAAGAAAGGAACAGGCCTTGGAATGTAAGGGTCTATGATCCGAAAGATAAGACCATAACATTCTAAAAATGCCTTATCTGTGTCATCTCAACAAGCCAGTATCTACCATTTCAGGGGAGGTCCTAGGTCAGGCAATAAGAAGAGGAAGAAGAAAGCCCCGTCTCTGTATTTGCAGATGTCCACGGTCTACCCCACACCATAAATCTTCCATAAGACTCTGAATTAATAACAGAATTCAGCAAAGTAACTAGAGAACCAGTAAGCAAAGCAAAACTTAGTAGACTGAGTACATCAGTATTGTCCCATTGGAACAGATAATGATGAAAGAAATTCCTTTTGGATTAGCATTGTTGTGTTTACTCACCACCTTCCAGCCTGTAATTCTCTTACTCCTTCCACAAAACTTTCTGTTCCTTGGAGTAATGTTGTCTCCAGACGGTAGGAAGGAGAGCAGAGGCTGTCATCATTCACTTAGCTCCCACCTCTTTGCAGACCATGAGCACTTCCTGACTTGTCGGTGGTAGCTTTAGAGCAGCCTCCTCACCTGCTTCTCAGTATCTCCATGGTCAGTGCTCCCCAAAGTGTGATGTGTGCACCAGCAGCATTGGCGTCCCCTGGAACAGGTTAGCAATGAGGAATCCTGAGTCTCACCCAGAGCTGCTGAGTCAGAATGAACATGTACCAAGATCTCCAGTTGATGTACATGCATATTAAAGTTTTGTCCAGCACTGTCTAGTGTGTTACTGGATTTCTCCTCGCAATGCTTAGTGTAAGTAGAAAGCATACAAGGGTATTATATATTTTCTAGATTCTTCAAAAATAATTTAGTCATGGAAATCCACCATTCACATCTAAAATTTTGCCACAGCTCTCTCACAGTCCCAGCCTACAGACAGAAGGAAACTTTCTTTGCTGAAGTTATGAAAATAACATACCAGAGTCCAGCAGAGCTAGCAAGCACCAGCTGGGTAGATCTACTACCATCTCAGCTGCATATGTATGGTAGGACTAGTTAAAATTTCTGGGTTTCAGTTAGTTTCACCTTTTTCCTGAACCTGATTAAAAAACTAAATTGATTTGAGTGTCACCTTCATTTTCTATTTGATTTTCAGAGATAACAACTAGAGAACCACAGAATTGAAGGTTGAAAAGGGCAGGAGAAAGCCATCAAAATAAAAGAGAGAGAGAAAAAGTCTCAGATCGTCACTGATCAGGAATTTTCTTTATTTTTCTCAATCCTGGTTATCTTCACTCTGCCTCCCATATATCACATGATAATATTAAGGCTAAACTGGATTTATGTTTATTTTTACAGTTGGAATATGAAAGGAACCCAAATCTCTTTTCCTTTTACAATATGTTTGTTCTTTCATGAACAGAGGAGGAGGAGGTATTTTGTCTTATGAGTAAACTTATCCTTGCTAATTATTCATTTCTCTTCTTTTATCTTTTTTTGAATATTTATGTCGACATTTATTTCTCCCAGTGCTACTTGGGTTGAAGTCAGTTGATGTCTTTTCTCAGTAAGGATCCAGTAATGGGGCCTGTCCATTATCTCCTCATTTCCTTGGGTACAGTTTTATGACATTTTTTGGAAGTCTCGCAAAATATTATAAAACACTGAGTATCATGAGGCCAATATCCTGGTCACATTGTTTATCTAACTAAATCTAAAGGTCTCTCCTCTGAGCTGTGAAGAATTTACCCCACTGTGCTGTACCTGGGTGGAGCTGTACTGCAGCTTTATTTCTCTGTGATTACCTGGGCATGATTTTCTCATTATCTTTTTCACATAAAAATTATAGTCTTCTGATTCAAATTCAAACCTTACCATTTGTTTTCTGGCACCCGGCTTATCCAGATCATGCTGTCCTGCCTTATTAAAATGTGAAATTTTTAGGGAAAGCAAAAGACTGTGTTATCTGGTGGAACAAATACAAAGACAAACACTTTTGTACTGTCTGCACTTACTGCTTATTTGTGGTAAGTGTGTAGAAGAGAAGATTATGACACATCCATTGTAGGACTTGGCTTTCCTGCCTTTCCCTTCTGATAGGTGGCCACATGAGTTATTATGTCCTCTAACTACAATGTAATAGAACTTAATCGGGAGGGCATTCCAAATGATTAATGATTCAAATGATCAGTGGTTGAAGGACTTGAGTATTTATTTCTCCCCACAGATTTGCAAATGTGTTAAGTGCATGCCATCACAGATTAAAGCAGTGCTTCTTAAACTTGAGCATGGGATATTAAAACATGACCCTTGGATTCTACCTTGAGGGTCACATTCACCAAATCTGGGCAGGGGTGGGGGGGAGACTGAGATTCTGCTTTTCTAACAGACCCCAGCTGATGACAATGCTGCTGCTGTCATCCACAAACCACACTTCCAGTAGCCTTGTGTTTGAACATATACCTATGTGCCTGTAAAAACACATAAACTTTAGAATTTCCTCTCCTCTTTTCCCCAACGTTTGCTCTTTTCTTTAGCCGAATCCCTTCTTGTGCTCACTTTTTAATTAATATTGATTGGCCACCTCATCTCCATGAGTCCAGAAACCAACAAGTGGAGCTTTAAATTTAAAGGAAAACGTTAATTTTATATGGAGAGAAATATAGTGGCCAACTATGAACATTACTCTGCTGGGCCCTAAAAATTATCTTTTTCATACATCCATTTTCTTCCATGATATTTTTTATGGGAAAAGGAATGTGCCTAGCAAGAGATTTTTGTGTGTTTATTTATTTGCTTTTAAAACAGTGCATTTTCAGCTTGTGTGGAACTCATCATTTCCTTGGATAGGGGGCTTTCCTGCATCACTTTCCTGAATGAGTGTGGCATGCCTTCACTTGCCTGGCATTTGCTCTGTGGCCCACCCCACAATTTCTCTTGGTCTGCATATCCCACACTTTTGTTCTGTATGATCTAAAGGCCTGTTATGAATATAACAGTTTCTGCTCTGGCACATGCATGGATGTGAGCTGTTGTGAGCTGTAATGTCTTAGATTACAACAGAAGCATGCTTCATTGGGATAAATTGCCAAAAGATGTTAATTCCTTATTTTAACATCCTTAAGTCAGTGTTGGGGAAGAGGTGAGGAAAATGGAAAAGTCTAGGGACACCCATGCTTTAGTAAATGACATCATGTGTTCTGTTTTCCAAAGGCATTTGTTCTATATATTCTGCCTTTTCAGATGATTGTCCCAAAACAAATAGGAAAGGAAAGCCATATGACTTTTTAAAGAATTGCTTCTTAAAGGCCTTTTCAGTGTTTTTCAAAGTCTATGCATAAATTTGGACAAATTTGCTGATAGGTTCCTAGTTATTGATCAGGTCTTGTTTACATCTGCTTATTGGTCTTCACTTCATGGATTTGAATTATTTATTTATTTGAGGGGTGGCCAAGGACACAGTGTAATTGTGGTATCCCCAGTGAACAGTAAGGAAATTGAATGGACCCACTGCCTCCAGATCTCTCTCTCTCTCTCTCTCTCTCTCTCTCCCTCTCTCTCCCTCTCCCCCCCCGTGTGTGTGTGTGTGTGTGTGTGTGTGTGTGTACCTGAGTCAGCTAGTAAATAGACTTCCCATGAAGTACAAAAACAACAATGCAGGAAACACGTGGCTCCTGGGCCACCTGCTCTACCAAGAGCATCTTAGTTGTGACTTTGAAGAGATAAAGTCACCAGTCACCAGCCTCCTAAATGCCATTGTCATTCATATACTCTCTGCCTGAAAGATTTTCTCAGGGCAATGGACTTAGAAGATGCTTTTGAAATCCTGATATTTATATACAGATTTTTTTATGATTTATAACTTATAGATGTCCTTCTGTTACTTAATTTTCATTATTACATTTGGTTCATTTTGAAAGTTGTAGACTTGGATAAAATGTAGTTTGCAGAGTGCCCACGAAATTTCTTATTGATGTAGAAAGATAAAATGCTGTTTGCTTATCAAACATAAAAGTTTATTCTTGTAGTATTTGTTTTTTTAATTTAAATTAGTATACAATCTATTTATAAAGTTTTTGCTGTTTATTTTTTTAAAATATTTTAATTAAATTTTCTATATGTTATAAAATATTTTGACTCACATTTCAAAGGGATTTATGTTAAATTTCTTACCTGTGGTAAAGGAAACAGAAGACAATACAATTCACATACACACTATATTATATGTCCTTAAACTTAAGAAAAGCCCCATATTTCTCTCTCTCTCTCTCCCTGTCTTATGCAGCATGGAGAACCAATAAAATAGTTCCAAATTTGAACTTTTCAAGATATATTTGAGGAAGAAAGGCAGAAAGGCAGTGAAATCCAATCTTTATATTTATAAACATGATAGTTTTGATATATCTTGTTTTAGAAATTATATATTTAGAAAGTGAAATTCCTCATGGGCAGGAAATGTCAACCTAAACAGAGTTATTTTCTCATCATAGCATCAACGAGATCCCCGACTGAATGAAATTTTATTCCCATTTTATGATGTTAAAAGGGCAATGCGAATCATTGAGATGTATGAACCTGATGAAGATTTGAAGAAAAAAGGTAATAAAAGATTTTTTAAATTTTTGGTTTAAAACAAGAAAATATGCAACTTTGAAAAAAGCTTTGGATTTTTAATTAAAAGTATGTGTAAAAGCTTTGGTGCTCCCCAGAGCCAAGGTGCATTACGTACATTACAAGTGTATCGATTTATTTTCCCTACTCTTTAGTATAAATTTTCCTGTTCTTTACCCTACATAAATCAGTGCATACTAAATGAAGTATATTGTTCAACTTATTGCACTACTGAACACATTACAGTGGTATTTTCCCCATCCACTTTCTTACATTGTTTTAATACTGAATATTGCTTGAGATAAAAATGTCAAATATACTCTATTTACAGTCACTGGAAAGAATTTCTGTCACATAAAAATTTGCACCTTCTTTTTCCTCCCCTTTGTTTTGCCAAGCCAAATAAATTTAACACATGCTTTGACGTGCCCTCTCACCCCTCCTGTGACCCCTAGAATGGAAGAGAGAACAACTGATATGCAATTAAATAGTCAGGAATCACTTGAGTAAAGTGATGGCGTTTCTGGGCCTTTGGCCCTTTTAATGAAACTTTAAAAGCAATGTGTAGTTCAAATATTTGTCAAAGGATAGGCTAGGAGGAGAGTTGGAAGGTCAGTGCCAGCACAGTGGGAAACACCCAGGGAGGGCAGGAGGGACAGCGCCATTGTGACTGGAGGCGCTGGCAGTGTGGACTGATGGTTAGGAGATCAAGGTGTAGGATCTGTCTGTCCTGTGTGCTTAGGAATCCTTGCCCCTCAGTTTCCTCCTCTTTAGGATGGATTCTTGCTTCTGCGTATCAAATGCCGGGGAATGTGGCTGAAAGGTTCATGCATCCTCTGGTTCCACACAGGACCTATTTATAAGTAGGCCTGGCGCAGACAGAGCTCTCCTGTGGATGGAGCTGAATCATTAACACTTTCAGATTGAGCTGCAGAGTGCTCTTTGCATTGTCTACCTCTCTGTTGATATTCTGAATACCGCCATTTATCCCACAGTGTATCTGATTAAAGCAGAGCAAGAAAGCATTGGGTGGCGATGTGATTCTAGGTCACCTTGAGCCAAGGAGGCAGACTCCTGCCGCTCTTTCCCCTGGCTGTACAATGGAAGGGCTAGTGTTGTGTCTCACTACTGTTTGTTCTTCTCTGTCATTATGGTTGTTTTGCTTTTATGCTAGTGGGGATTAAGCCCAGAACCTTGCGGTCTTTCAGTAAGCTACACCCTCATGCCCTACTGTACCATCCTTTTGTAAAATTTATAGAGGGCTGGCCAGGTGCCAGTCACTGTGCTAGGTGTGGGAATCCAAAACGGAGCAAGAAATTTTTCTCACCTAGAAGGTGATTGTGTTCTGTTCAAAGGGAAAAACAAATGACTCCACAAAGCTTTGGCAATATGATAAATGTTATGATAGATATGTGTCATTGGTGATTTCTAAAGTCCTTCCAAGTCCTAAGAGTCTACAAGATTGCCACTGACATCTAAAAGGAGTAGCTTCACTTTTTCACAAATGGAAGGAACTTTCCAGTCTGGCATTATCAATTGTGGGTGAGAATGTGATGTAAATGCCATCTTCATAAACTTCTGGTGGGAGTGTAAACAGATCAGTGACCTTGGTAGTTTGGCAATAACTCATTAAACAGAAAATGTGCCTGGCATACAGCCCTGCATCTCCCCTTCTAGATGTTCACCCTACGAACTCTTCTGTGCGTGTCCCAAACTTTGGATGCCAGAGTGACACAGAATTCAGGGCTCAGACCTTGGTTCCATCCATGGCTAGTCCTTGGGTGAGTTCAGGGAGGTCACTGGCATTAGGTTCCTTCTGAATGCACTGAACTCTCCAGTCCTCACCTCTAACCTAAACTGCAGGCCTATAGCAAAACTATTTGGATGTTGAATGGGCATGGCCAATGTATATTGGAAATCTATAGTGCATTTTTTTTTTTTTTTGGCTTTTCAAGACAGGGTCTCACTATGTAGTTGAGACTGACCTGGAACTCACTATGTAGCCCAGGCTGGTCTCGAACTCACAGCGATCCTCCTGCCTCAGCCTCTCAAGTGCTGGGATCACAGGCATGCACCACTACACCTGGCCCTATCATGCTTTGATTCTGCCTGTCCCCAGTTCTGTTTGTACTTTTCCTAGCTGATAAAACAGTCCCATTATTCGCTCTGCTTTTCAGGTCAAACCTGGACTTGTCTCATTTTTTTTTCACATTACATCAGCACAATCTGTAAGATCCAACCACACATTGACTCAAGTGACTCCCAACCTGTTAGAAGTCAAATGTGCCCAATTTGTTTCTCCTAATAACTGAAGGATGGATACAAGGACAAAGGAGATTAACAGTGGGGAAAGTTTATTGAGAGAAAGATCCTAAGAGATGGGGGGAGCAAATGCCAGTAGCCACCGAGACTCTTTGTTAAGGACATTGTATACAGAAAAATCACAACTTGGGTAACTATGGGTCATACAACAACTAGCCAATACAGCATTACAAGTATAGTAGCTTAGCTAATATTGGTTCAATAGGGAATCAAGACACTTGCCAAGGGTATGTGACGAGCATCCCTAACTTCAGCTTATCTGTAACTTTTAATAGAGAAAGAACACAGGCTTTCCAGGAAAGGGATGGGAATATGGGTCAAGATGTTCTAGTCACCCACCTATGCATCTGACACCTTCTCTAGGCTTACTGGACCAGGTCGTGCTAACTATAGTACAATCTCAAGTTGCTGTCCATCTCTGGGGAGGCTCTCATGTCTCCAGCCATAATTTTGATAGTCTCATTTTCTCCACGGACTCCCTTGAGGGCCTAATCCCTCTCTGACTGTCTATGAATTTCTGTCTAAACTTCTCACCATCTCCACTCTACCAGACTATCCAAGCCTACATCATCTCTCTGGGCCACGTCAGCTGACTTCTAGCTAGTTTTCCATTCTACTCTGCTCCATACAGCAGCCAGAATAAACATTTTAAAAAAAATCTAATGATGCTATTCTACTCTTCAAGCACTAGCCCCCTTCTTGCCCCCAAGCTTCACAACACACTTAGAGTAAAATCCAAAGTATTTACTGAGGATTAAGTCCCAGCTGATATAGCCTTTGGCTACCTCTCTGAGCTGAATTCCAGCCATTTCCCCCTTTGGCAACTCTGCCTCACTCATTGCATGAACTTGGCAGGTGAACTCCTTTATTTATAGCGATCTGCAGCGCTGATTTTCCTGCCTGGAATGAGGATCCCCCACTCCACCGTGTATATAGGGCTTGCTTCCCATGCCTGTGACCTTTTCAGGAGGGCTTTCACTGGTCACATATCTTAATATGGCATCCTGCCGTTCTCTATCGCCTCTCTCCCTGCTTTCCTTCAGCACTCTTGTGACATATCTATTTGTTTATTCATTTATTTCTTTTATTGGTAATATGGGAGTTTCATGAAGGGAGAAAGTCTGGTTTGTTTGTTTTCCCCCATCACTGCATCTACCCTAGTGCCTCACAAGTACCTACCCTTAGAATGGATGAACACACCCAGGAAGAGAGGCATAGAAGCTTCCATTGCAATACCTTCAGTTGTAATTATAAATTATATACATGTCTGTCAACAAAACAATGGAAAATAGATTATGGTATACATATATATGGACCCATACCTTCAGTGAACAATAAATGAACAAGACCTTCTCATGTAGATAAGTCTCTAGAAAATATAAAGTAAAAATAGCAACTTCAAATCCATAAAGTGAAATTGTTTTTCTATGCTTTTGATTACATTCAAAAATGACCTATTATTTGGTTAAATGAATATGTCATAAATGCACAATCAAACTGCATAAATGCACATTTTGGGGCTGTACCCATGAAAATGAGGTAGTGGTTACTACATGTAGTAGAAAAAAGGAATTAAATAGAATTGAGGTAGTGTACCTAGGACTCTGTTATGGCACTTGTAATTAATATGAAATAGGAAGAAAAGGGACAAAAAGAAAGGGGAAAAAGGAGGGGTAGGGGAAAGGGAAGAAGGGAATGGAATTAATGTGAGAAAATGAAAAATAATGGAAACAAAGTCTTTGTAGATAGAGAGGGGTTGAAGGAAGGGCAGGGGAATGGGGAAAAATAAGAACCAAGATTGATTATGTAAAGGTACAAATTTCCAACAATGAATGTCATTATATTGTATACATTAAAAGTACCAATACAATAAATTTTAAAAAAACATATAAAGCAAAAGGTTAAGACAGGACATCATTGTGGTGTAGGTCAAAGGGTATTTATGATGCTATCATCTATACTTTTAGGTAAACTTAAAATTAGTTTCTAACTTGCAAATGCCTAAGCAAAACAGTACAAATTGAGACCACTAATAGATGATAGGGTAGGAGAAGATACAAAAATACTGATTATCTTGGATTATCTTGTAGCTACCATATACCCTGCTTCATGTCAGCAAGATCTGATTGAAATGAGCTGTGGCTCCCAGGGCAGGCTTCAGTGGCCCTTGCATACTCTCCTCACCAGCCCTGTTCTCTTTTAGATAAAGCAGGGAAGTTAAACTGTTTACATTCACAAAGGCCGCCAACTCCATGAAAAGTCCCTTCTGCGGTCCAGTTGGAACAATGCCGGCCTGCCAATCTCATGTTTTCCATTTGTTAAAGTGCGCCTCTCACACATACTCTCCTGGAAAACCAGTGCGGCCAGTATTTTCTCCGGCTCAGGAGAAGAGGAAGCTGAGACCCAGGGGCAGAAGGAGTGTTTGGCAGAAGCAGACCTAGAGCTCTTATCACGTCGAGCGCTTATCACCATGGCACTGTTTCGGGACTTGGGGGCCTGTGTCCTTCGGCCATCACAGATAGAAAGGGACACCTTCACCATGTTACTCATAATGTGCAACTCTCTTGTATTCAAGTCCTGGAAAATGCAGGTTCTTGAGAAAGACTGAAGAAGTGTTTACTCTTACTGTTTAAACTGCCTCAGTTTCCCTGAATAAAACATACGATGAGCAGGTTCAGACCTTCAAGTGCTACTAAGATGTTCTTTTCCCCCTAGGCCTCATATCAAGTGATGGGTTTTGCAGATATCTGATGTCAGACGAAAATGCTCCAGTCTTCCTAGATCGCTTAGAGCTTTACCAAGAAATGGACCACCCTCTAGCTCACTACTTCATCAGCTCTTCCCATAACACCTATCTCACTGGCCGACAGTTCGGTGGGAAGTCTTCGGTGGAGATGTACAGACAAGTCCTCCTGGCTGGCTGCAGGTCAGACACTCAAGATGACAATGTGTTCGTTGTACATGCTGCCCTCCAACTTAGTCACCCCCTTATCCACAGGGGACATGTTCCAAGGCCCCCAGTGAATGCCCAAAACCAGAAATCCTGCCTGATTGTACAGATACTGTTTTGTTTTGTTTTTTTTCCTATACTGTATATACCAATGACAAAGTTGAATTTGAGATGAACAAAAATCACTAATGATACAATAGAACAGTTAGAATTGTACTTTAGCAAAACTGTCCACATGCCCACCCTTGTGCTTTGGGGTCATTACTAAGCAAAATGAGAGTTACTTGAATACAAGCAATGCAGTCCCTTGAGAATTAATCTCATAACCAAAAATGCTCCTAAGTGACCAATGGGCAGGAGGTGTATAAAGTGTGATTGTGTTGGACCATGAGATGATGATTCAAATCCTGGGCTGGACAGTGGGATGGAAGATATTTCATCATGCCACTAAGAATGGTGTTTAATTTAAAACTTATAATTGTTTAGTTCTGGTATTTTCCATTTAGTATTTCCAAGACTACTACTGACCTCAAGTAACTGAACCACAGCTAAGGGAGAACTACTATAATTTACCTTCTTCTGAAACAGGAACCAGAATGAAAAGGACATTTGTCCTTGTCTTTAATGAGTTATGATGGTCATTTAACCTTGAGGAAAGAATGAATATTACTTCCAAAATAGTCTAGCATTGTCCTGTCAGTCAAAATATATAGTTTTACTATATATTTATAACAGGCTTCAAAAATTACAAAAACCATAGGTATTTTTAAAATCATAGTAAGTTTTCTACTGGCTGTACTTCTTTGCAAACAGCTAATATTTAGAAGTTTGCTTCTGTGAGAATAGAGATAATTGAAAACAGTTTTCACAGAAATAAGCAAATATTTGAGGTTTAACATATAGCCAAAATGCTGAAAGTAAAAATAAAAAATGTCATTACATTATTAGTTTTTTCCTCAGTTTTCATTTGAGTAATACCTTTTAAACTCACTATTTTTTATATGTAAATACTTTGAAAAACTGAACTATATCCCTTTTTCTATCCATATACTTCCTCTGAATCCCTGAGTATGAATCAGTAGGACATAAAAGCATGTTCTAATATGGCGATAGTTAATATTATCCCACCGAACACAAAAATATTCTAATCTAGGCTATATTTAAATTTCCCCACTTGCCCTCAAACTGTTCCTCACTGCAGCTTTGTCCCAAGTAAGATTTTGCCTGGAACTAGGCCGCTCGTTATCTCTGAAGACACTTAGTCTACTGGGCCCCTTTAGATAATACCAACCTGCTGGCGTTTAATGAGGCTTCAACCTAGATGTTCCATAAAGTAGCCATGTTACTTAATTCATTGCATTTTCTGTTTTGTAAGAAAACAACTTATTTGAATGTCTTTCTTTGAATTTGCACACTCAGTGTTTTGTGCTATGGGTTCAATAATGTAATTTCACTGTGTTCCTAGGTGTGTTGAACTTGATTGTTGGGATGGAAAAGGTGAAGATCAAGAACCAATAATAACTCATGGAAAAGCAATGTGCACAGATATCCTTTTTAAGGCACGTTTTAAAAATCACACAGTCGCATTTTTTTCCAAATAGTTGTGAAAGAGCAGAAAACGGAAATGGAGACAAGAAAACAAAGTACTATTTTCTCAAGCATTATGCTTTCATATTTTCTTCTTCCAGTTTTGAGGAAACAAGACAAATGTCTCCTTTGTTGTTCCCATCACCTGTTTTTCCTTATTTCAAATTACTGACTTTGTTACATAATGAGGTTTTTCTAATAAGTCTGCCTACTATTGCTTATACCTTAAAAACAGTCCCTTATGGGCTGGGCATAGTGGCGCAGGAGGATTGCTGTGAGTTCGAGACCAGCCTGAGCTACATAGTGAGCTCCAGGTCAGTCTCAACTACATAGTGAGACCCTGTCTCAAAAAACAAAACAAAACAAAAAAAATAGTCCCTTATGGCCAGGGATTTAGCTCAGTTGTGCCTCCGCCTGCCTCATAAGCACAGGGTCCCAAGTTCAATCCCTGGTCCCAAAACAACAAACAAAACAAAACAACAACAAAAAACACAGTCCCTTATGTCCTTATCTACTAATTGGCTGATGCACTTTGCATTATTCCTGAAAGATTTCAAGGTGGCATGGATAGACAAATAGAAGGGAAAATACATGATGAATAGGGCCTATCCAAATAAGAGAATAAGTGATGAGGTCAGAGTTTATACCATGCAACTTTAGAGGTACTAATTTATAAAATGAGGTAGGAATGCTTGTCAAAAAATTTGTAAGTAACACCTAAACTGGGCTTTGGACTTTCTAGAATTCAGTTTAAGGAGAAAAACACGTGACTCACCATATCAAGAATGAGAAGCACAGTTATTCCCAGAACTGACAGCAGTGAGACATTCTCTCTTCAAGATCTTTGTCAAGAAGAATCTCATTTTATAAATAGACATCTCCATAATGGCCTTTTGGTATTAGATTTGAAGGCTGATTTTTAAAAGCCCCTCAATATGCACATGGTATCTTTCCAAAAGACAAGAAAAAAAGGAAAAAGAAATTATGTAGTTGGTCAGTGAATCAGATGCATCAGTCTCCACTGGTTTCGTCCAGGTCTGAATAGATACTGCAACATTTTGAGCAGTGATTTGCAAAGCTACCTGTGAAAAATCCCCAGGAATGTTTCCCAAAGCATAGATGCCTAGGCTTATACCCATAACATGCCATGGGTGTCATTTCTCTCCTCCAAGATGGTGGTGAATTTTGATCAGGAATGATTCAAGAGTATGCTTCGTGAAAAAAACAAGGAGTATATTCAAGGGCAGAAAGCCATCAATCTGCACGGCAGCCAGAGATACAAAAGGTGATGGCTGCTTTGTATTGTTGTGGAGCTGGGTCTCTCTATGGCGCCCAGGTTGGTCTCAGACTCCTGGACTCTGGTGACCCTCCCTGAGCCTTAAGAATGCTAGAATTACAAGTACAGGACATACACATGAGCCTGTCCAGGTGCTGTCCTATTTAGAGAATTAAGGAGCTTAATAAGGAGGCACAGCTGAAAAGAAGGCTATTCCTTCTTTGTTGGAGAACCCAAGGGCAGAGACAAGCTTTCTTTGGGGAATAATTCTTGGTCAACTCATGTGGAAAATCAGAGCTCACAAGTATTTTTACCTGGGAAGAAAAGTAAAGGCTAGAATAACTAAATGAGTAACACATGCCTGTAATCTCAGCTACTTAGGAGGCTGAGGCATGAGCATTGCAAGATCAAGGCCAGCCTGGGCAACTTGTGGACTTCTCTAGGTAATAATTATAAAACGTTTTCCTCATTCACTGGATAATGAGACATGCCTGTGTTTAGCTACAAATCAATAAGAACCTGAAAATTTTTATCAAATGTGATGCTGTGTTTTTGGAAGAATTGAAGTCTTTTTTTTTTTTTTTCTAAAGCTAAGCAGAAACTAGGGCCAACTATCTGTTAAGACTTCACCTGTCTCACAGAGCTAGAATGGGATTTGTTCAGCTCATTCAGAAGTACTTTCAAGGATGAGAGTTCCAGAACACACCCCTGTTTTACCTTACATTTCTCCTAACCAGAAAAAGCCCCTCCCCATAACCTCCTTTTTGCGAAGCTAATATGAAACAAAGAATATTACAAATGTCAGTAGACAAGGAATTAATGAATCATCAAGTAAGGAACTGGCAGGTCACTGAGATGAAATCTTTTATAAATTGATAGCACCATTAATTCCCAGGAAATAACAGATAGTGTTAGAAAAAAATTGTCATTATGTATTAACTGCAGCCCATGTCTAACCCCAGGGACTTGAAGAGGTATCAGGTAAATGAGTTCTCATGGTCAGAATTGCTAAAATTGACTCTCTGAAAGGTTCAGCTAGTGGTCTCTGAATAGTTACATGTACTGCAAATTTTGGGGTTTTTTTTTGTTCTTTTTCCTCATTAACACTCTTTACCTTTAAAGGATGTAATTCAAGCCATCAAGGAAACTGCATTTGTCACGTCAGAATATCCTGTAATTCTCTCCTTTGAAAATCACTGCAGGTATAATGATTTGTTCTACTCCGAGTCTCTTAAGTGGCTTTGTTTTCTAAACCCTGATCCTCACTGCTGTTTTGCATCTTGTTAAATAACTTAGTGATTTGTTTTATGAAGTGCTAAATGCAAATGATCCTCCAGCAAGGATACCAAACCTTGAACTTTAAGCAAGCGCCCTTCCCTATGAACATTGTGTTTATTTGCTTTAGAAATGACTGTTCTAAAGGAATATCCAGAGATCTGGACACCTTGCTTAAAGTTGCACTGAGTAGGAAGATTGGCAATAATTTGAAAGACATTTTTGTAAACTTCTTACCAATTTTAGTTTGTTGGCTTTTTTAAAAAAATTGCACTGGTCAAGAGCTTATGGTTTTTGGAAGAATGTCTCGTGTTAAGGAAGACAAGCATGCTTGTTTTCAGAGTGGGAGACTTCAATTCTGTAGGAATGGGTGTCTCTTATTCTGGGATGCCTAATGGCTGTTTGAATTTACAAAATGCCACTTCTTTCTCTCCAGCAAATATCAACAGTACAAGATGTCCAAATATTGTGAAGATCTATTTGGGGATCTCCTGTTGAAACAAGCACTTGAATCACATCCAGTAGGTATTTTTAGCAAACCATATTTCTAGCATGAATGGATTTGTTTTGAAATTCATTTTTGAAGGGTCAAGTAGCACTGGAGAGCTAATGTGAAAGATCTTCCTATTTATTTAAATTCTTTGGTATAAAAAGCTTTTATCATGCTTCGGAGGGATGTAGAGAGGCACATAAAATAAACATGTGGTTCAATTTAATCCAGAAGGTTTGGGATCTCATGGTTTAAATTTCACAAGGCCTATGGTCCAGATTCTGCAGTGGTTCTCAATGTTAGCTAGGTGTTAGAATCACCTTGGAGAACTGTAAGAAACATCTGAGCCAGCGCCCCATCCACAGATTGTGGATCACTGATCCAAGGTTAGGCTCCAGCCTGGTATATTTTAAAAGCTTGCCAGATGGACAAAGGTTTGCCCAGTGTTCAGAACCCTGGGAGACTGTGGCTGTGGAAAATGCCTTAGGCTGATGTCACAGTGTCCTGAAGTTCACACTCCCAGCTTGGGAACAAATCCTTGGGCAATATTTTATTTCCATTTTTCAACTGCATTTTACACCTGTTAACTTTCTTCACAAAACAAAGAATATTAACCTGTGCCCCGTAGAAAGATTTTATGGGGTTCTTGAGTTTATTCTGATTGCTTACAGTTTTTTAATACATCATCATTCCAGAGAGTTGATTACATGTTTATAAGGATTAATGACCTCTGAGAGGTGGGGACCCATTGTCACAAGATGTTATAAGTTGCAAGACAGATAATACAATGAAAGTGAGATACTTGAACCTCCTACTGACAGGCAGCTTCTGATGAGCCCATACAGGGTACCATAAGGTGGTGGGAGAGATGTTAATGGGAAGGTGCCTTGTAATACATGTCAGTTCTTTGGGTGGTTTAACAATGAATTTTTTTTCCAAAAAATGTGTCTATGAGAACTAAAAACACATAGGTGATAAGCATCCTTCGCTCCTCTCCACAGCCTACTAAAGCAGTCATAGCACCTGTCTGCCCTTACCCTCCCACCACTTCCTGTTTACCTGCACACAGGCCTGATTTTTGTCCATCAACACCTGCAGCTTTTTAGCTGCATGTGAGCTGTGATCACTGAATCCTGATCTGTCCACACATGGGAGATAGGCCAGAAATGCTGGAGAATTAGTATCTCCACTCCATGCTCCAATGCTCCCAAGGTGTGCTGACTGAGCACTTGATGTACTCTGTCTCCCAGGGGTCCTCAGCGGGATAGACCTCCAGTTTCTCATTGATAACTTCCTTGCTAACACACCCTGGATTGGCTGCCTCTTTCTTTTTCTTGCTTTCCCACTCCTTTGTTGCAGTCTCCTGGGGCCACCTCCAAAATCAACATAAATCTTTGTCTCAGAGCCTTATTCCTAGGTAACCCAAACTAAGAAACATCTCCAATTTATTGAATGAATATTATTTTAAACCTGAGCCTCCTGCTTATTTTCCTGGCTAGGGTAAGATTCCTTTGTGGAAAGACTGTAGCATTCTTAATGAAATATTTTGCATGCCCTTGAAAAGAGTTATGCAAATCACAAGTGGCATAAATGGAAGTAAATCTGCTCTCTTAACTAAAGAGTTTGAGGGCTGGGACAAGGGAGGGAAGAAGAAATCAAAGTAAACACATAGTTGAAAAAAAAGATAGCCCCCAATGAGTTGACTATTTCTTGGTGATGTCCTGGTGCCAGAGAGAACTTGGGGGAAAAGGCTGCTTCCACCAGGCTAACTGTAGGAAGCAACATTTCAGCCAAGTGCTTCACTTGGAGCAAGACAAAGCAAGGCACCTGTCCAGAATAGGATAAAAATGATTTTTTTTTTTTTTTTTTTTTTTTTTTTTTTTTG